GCGCATTCTGTAAATATTTTTTCCAATGAAACAACTCGTAGAATCCACAGATTATTAAAACAATACAAATATTTGCATTTGTTTAAGGTTTATATTATCAACAGACTAAATAATATAATTTATAAGTGTAGTTTAAAATGCACAGTCATGTTCTTTTTTATTTTTTCATAAATGTAACTTGATAAATAGTTAAAAATCCGCGTTTAAACTGATATAATATATTTTCTCACAAAAACTGATTTCATTCGTATGTTTTGCAGTTTCCCTAGCTACATAGTCTATGGCGTTTATGTCGAGATTTTCATAAATTAGCATTGTCTGCAGACTCGCTTCGCAATTTAGTTTTTGTTACGCCACAGATTATGTGTTTATTCGCTGAGTATTTGTACATATTACTTTTTGTATTGTTACTCTTTTTTGTAAACTACATTTGAATTACCAAAGTAACTGAAATTCCAAAAAAAAATCTCACGAACTAATGTCAACATGCAAGATTAAGAAGACGAAAAAGTATACAAACTGCTGTGCTATGATCGTGGATTCAAAATTTACAATATAAGTATTCAATGTATGTAATGTTCTTTGCTTATATAGGAAAATCATAAAGATTCAAAAGAATAGATAAACAATAAAACTACTAAACAGCAAATATATATTTCTGTGTAAAGGTTTGCTTTTATATACATATACTAAGAAACAAAATACATTACAACAGCGAAAAGCGCAATAAATACCATGTTTGTCAGAATGAAAAACCAGAAAATTTACAAGATAAAATCTAGAATTGCATAGTTGAAACAATTTCTTCTTATCACTCTTTAAGCATGATATTACTAAGAAATCACTATCTTCAAGGCCGGACACTACTTTTAAATAATGAATAAATACTTTTAATGCTTTAAATGTAACCATGGTTACGAGAGTGAATACCACTATGTTCACCAAAGCACAACAACAACAAACCAAACATGTTTATATATTTAACATTCGCATAAACTATATATGTTGCTTGAATGTTACAACATTATAATTCCAGAATATTTCCACCCAACCACCGTCCAAAAAGCCTATTCATTTGTTATGCACAAATGCGAGAGAAATCTTGAAAAATACAAGCGTATTCTCCATAGAATTGCCGCTCTCCCTACATTAACTAATGTTTTTCACGCTGCTCCATTCATAAACGGGTCTATATTAAAATTTATCACGTGAACCGACCCGGGAGAATGTATTATTAGCGCGGTAATGTTGGTGCGAATCATGAGCATCTAATTTTTCCTCCTCTTTATTAAGGTGGCTGATATTTTTGGTATACTTTGATGGATGTCTGTGGTGTGCCTTTTGAAACGCACGCGTTTTTACGCCATAACACGCCACAACGGGACGGTCACACGCGGTTAGAGCAGAACGCTGTTTAAGTCCTGTCCGTGTTGTCGAAGTTCTTGTTGGTCAATATAAAGAGATCTTAAATCAATTTTAGTTTAGGAGCCGGAATTATGAATATAGGAAAAAATAATATCTGTCTATATCTATATCACACATATGTGCTATCATTTTCTGTCTATTAGTTTCAAAAAGGCCAAAGTACGCCCTTTATATCGTGAGTTCATTTATACACTATAAGGACTTAAAACAGTTACATAATTAAGTCCAACATTTCTCTTTTTTAATTATTAGGTCTAAAATAATAAAAAACGTTTATAACACCCCGTCACTCAGACAATGAATATTTAACAATAGTAGAACAAATGATTGTTAAATCCACTCTGGCCCAATAATTGCAATTGTGTAATTAAACAATTCTGTTGTTTCAATTAAAAAGAACATTAAATAATTAAGCATTGTCTGAGTAGGTCTAATTTAAATAAAACAATTTAATATTTAAATAAAACACTTTAACGGTTTAAAACGCGATATATGTCTCAATAAGACATATAAACTAAAGGCTTGACATGTTGACATGATATCTTTTCACGAATAAAACGCTTTATCGTCAATATTAAAACAAGTGTTGCAAATGAAATATGTAAGAGCTTCTGTGAACTAGGTTAACAACATATGTAGGTGTTGTAATTAAAATCAATACAAACATTCATTGCACACCCATAATGCGATGTTGGGAAGCACCTTAAATATTCTAGTAAGCTTGTTTTAACAACATTAATTAAAGTTTCCAACAAGTATTATAACGAATACTAAATCAGAGATTTCACAATTATACGTAATCTGCTGCTTTGCCTTTCCAGACTGAAACAGTTGATTATGTCCCATGCGCAAAGGCATCGCATTTAACTTCAGAGCCTTAGACCTTTTTTTTCTTTTAATCTTTATTAATAGACTTTAACCTGATTAGGTTATGTCGCCCAATAAGACAAAAGTTTACAAATTAATAGACTAAAACTATCTACATTGCCTATGAATATAAGTTTAGTAGCGTTTTAGCTTCCACCGAAAATGAAAAGGCTAAGATGCTACAACATCACCCAACATGTTTTACACATATAGATTTACGAACTAATTCACTATATGTCGCATTCCGTACACATTCCGACAAAACATGGGCCACGTCTTCCACAACGTCAGAATCTATGCAATTAGGACTTGATGACTTGTTAGCTATGGATCCTTAAAACAAAATTATAAATATTAAAGTATCAATTTATTTATTATTAAGGAAGACAGACAAGCTGGGGTTCACTGTATGGAAGGTGATATATCCGAGCTATATTACATCTTCACAATATTTTACTACTGTCAAGCGTTTATAGAAGTTACGAGTTACTAGATCATTTGAAATGGATTAGACTCCCGGACAGATATGTGTTTTGTATGAAAATATGGGTCAACCATTGTCACACAGTGCCTGCAGGGAACGACTCGTAAAAAGCACTCAGTTTCATAAGAAAGGTATTGCTCACTCTTTGTGATAATAAACTCGGCGGTTCTGTGATCTTCGCATTTCATAGATAAAAATGAACTCAATTACTTCTACTATAACGCCAGATCGCCTAGCGACCAAGTATTAAATAATGGTTAACGTCACTTTCAGGGTCTATTAAAATTAGTAAGAAATTTACTCGCTTTTTCTTGCCGCTTTTCCTTTGATATTTCGATAGATGTCTGACTAAACATAAAAAAAACTGTCATCTTGTCAAAGTTGTAATAATTTCATGCTGTATACCTTATACAGCATGAAATTATTACAAATTATTTCAAAATTAGATTATGCTCTACCTGTTTATACAAAAGTTAATATTGTTGTTTTAATGTGTGTAAGACTTACAAACGTCCGTCGTCTTATCATTTTAAAGATCGAAGCGCAAAAGGGCTGGAGTGAGGTAGTTTTATAAATGCGTTGTTGTATTATATATATATTGATGGCACATAGAAACTTTAACTGTTTAAGTATTCTCGTTATGCATATTGGTAATTTATGTATTAAGAACTCATTAGTAATGGATATTTCAATTACACTGAAATCACACTGTTTTGTCGTGAATCGTCGATTCACTTTCCCTCTATTTCTGGTAAAAACATTGATAATAGCATCCCATTTCCCATACTGATTGGCAATCCTAAATCCAACGAAGTTGCCAGCTCAATAAACAATTGCTAGACGATAAATCAAGTTCTGTATTCGGCAATATACTCGAGATGGAATAAGGCGGGATCCAAATTCCGTCTTGTTTGTCTTAAGCCCCTAATATTGTTTGTTCTTGGCTCAATCTTACGTGTCTCAAGCAACGGATTGAATGAACTGTTCTTTTATTGATGCTGTGCGAAGCTCGCGTTACTCGTGTTGTTTTCACTGTTTTCCGAACAGAAAACTGTAGGCACGTTATTTTCTCAGTAATATTTTTAGTTATCAATGTTATTACTATCTCAATATGTTTACTGTAAAATATTGTTTAATGATAGAGGACAGACAAGCATGGGGATCATATGATGGGAGATGAAATACCCCAGCCATATAACATCTACACAAGATGCGTTATCGACCTATTTTGGCTTTGGATATTCGGAAAGTCACAGACTGAAACCGAAACACGATTATACTACACAGATGGCGTGGACGGAATTTCTATATTCCTATCACCCATTCAATATCCAGATTTCCTCGAAGGTTGGCCTTTGTCTGGAAATTCAGAAAAGTAATAAATTAAACAATTATAAACATGGGTGGATATGGAACCTGGTGGGGATCGAACCCACGGCTCGTTGATTATTAGCCATACAATGCTACCATTAGGTAAAAAAGTAACGTTCCAAATGTAAGAAAACAATTTAATATATTCTTTCGGTTGGCTGAGAAAAGTTTTTTGTAATAAAAACTGAAGAAGAATTCTGAGAATGTCTATTTTTATGCGTAGGCACCTACGTTACATTTTGAGGACTAAGTTATTAGTATTATTACTTTTTGTATAATATTATGTCACGATCATATTCGGTTATATATTGAATATCTTTCATTTTGAAATTTGAGCAATAATTTTAACAAATCGTATCAGTTGACAAGGAATATTTTATCGCAATAAAAACTAATATAACGTTTCTGAGAATATATATTTTCGTCATTCTTAAACCTCTACAATGTCAATGCTATACAATAATTGTATACAAGTTCTTGCTGATTTGTTGTCTCTAATTTTATTTCAAATATATAAAAGTTATAACATAGTTTAATACAAAATACTGTCTGTAGTCTACGCGAGTAGTAAACATTTAAATAAAACACTTCAACGGCTTAAAACGCGATATATTATATTAGTTAGACTTATTGAAAATTATTTTAAATACGACCCGCCGTTTTGGACGCTTTTAAACTAATATATTTTGCGTTTTAAAGCGTTAAAGTAATTCATTTAAATGGTTTAATACTATCAAATTTGTTTTAAGACTTGAGAGACCGTTTTTGCTGTAATAACATATTTGTAAGTAAAATATATATTATATATTTCAATTCTTATATTATATAATGTGATGTTTTTCCAGCTCATACGATGTGCCATACAATTACACAACTCGACGTGCCTCGGTGGGCCGATCCTAGGATCGAGGCCAAATTGCGGTGTCAATACGAGCGACAGCCTGGCGATCCAGCGCTGCACTCCGTCAAGTGGTACAGAGGGAAACATGAGATTTTTCGATACACACCCCAAGAGGTAAGCTAAAATCCTATTAACTCTTGCCAGGGAAATCAAATGGCTAAAAGTTTAATAGCGCTTCGAAGGTCTAAAGCCAAAACAGTTCGATAACGCCTCTTGTTAAGATGTTATATGCTTAGGGTATAATATGAACTTCAATCAAGTGATTAGTGAACTCGTCCAAAATGACGGGTCGTAGGTAAAATAATTTAGTGTAAAAGGTACATTTTTCGTTTTTAATGTCATTTAAAAGAATTACTAGTATAAATTACAGACAGTAGCTAAGAAAGCTATATTTTATTCATATAGCTTAATTTAATAGACACTTTAACGGTATAAAACGCGATATATTAGTTAAACTTATTTGAAAATGATTTTTAACTAATATATCGTGTTTTAAACCGTTAACGTGTTTTATTTAAATGTGTACTACTCGCGTAAACTATAGACAGTCCCGGAAGCGTGAAAACTAGCAAGACGATATTAAAATTTGGCCATTGAATATACTACTTAAAATTTTGTAGTAAGCAAAACTTTGTTACATTTTATACTAAAACTTGAAGGTAATATTACAAACTCAAGCAAACTTTAAGCAGCTAGGGTCAGATGTATAAGTTTCTAATGAACTCGGTTAAGCTTCGAGTTTCAAACAAAAAGACGCCACCCTGGAATTTCGGAATTTGTGCCGCCACGTTAAACGTTCCTTAATACTTAATATAGTTACTGACTTTTTCTAACTGTCAAAATATTTATTATAGCTGTTAGTTTTCAAACAAGTTTACTTCTAAGTAGAGTTAAAGGATGGGATCTAAGTTGTTTTTTCTTTGGCGTTTGTGAAGGAGAAATTAACAAAACATTCACTGAGATAGGAGTTCATGCGCCAGAAGCAACCCTCTTCCTAAGCTGTTTATTTGGAAAATTAATATCTTAGTCCCTTTGTCAATTGCGTTGTATAAACAAAATTAAATAAATTAAACACAAAAAAACGCAAAGTTTAGCAGTTAAAAGTGGTTTTTCCATTCACGGACTACAGATAATACACATAAACACAAAATATTGTGAATATATATATATATGCTTAAATACTGTCTATAGTTTACGCGAGTAGTACACATTTGCCACGGGGAGACTGTCACGTCTCCCCGCACCACGGCTGCTGCAAAGCATCCGAAACGTCGGGCCGAAGTTAAAAATCATTTCCAAATAAGTTTAACTAATATATCGCGTTTTAAAGCGTTAAAGTGTTTTATTTAAATATATATGCTTGGCAAGTTTAAACTAACTCACAACCCAAACATCGCCAACGAGGCTGTCGGATGGATAATGATAATTAACAAGTCGTGCGTTCGAGGCCTACTTGGTGAGACGTGTTTCTTGCCAATTTATAATTTTTCCGAAACATGTTTGACACGTCTTCGTCTGAAAATCGAAAAATTCCATCTGGGTCACGAACCACCATTCACATCTGTGATGTTTCAGTCTCTGGCTTTCCAAGTATCCATAGCAAAAGTAGATCGATGGCGATCTTATTCAGGTGTATTTCACCTTCTATCAATGTGAATCCCACGATAGCCTGTCCTCCCCTTTCATATTGAAAAAACAAAATCCAATAAAGATAAAGCTACAAGAAATATATAACACCTCTCAAAACAACCGTAATGCCTTATCTTATTGTGCCATGGCGGCGTTAAATTTATTTACATTAAGGGACTTTATAAATTACCATATTTAGGTTGTATCAAAAAGTGTTTGCTATGTTTATGCAAATGTAAAAACACCTCTTTGTACCTGACTCAGTCGGATTAGCATTACAATTATGTAAGCAAGTGTCATTTGTATAATGTTCTTATTTAGCATCGAGATAGTATTAGCATTCGGATCATATTTTCATCGTTAATCCTCACTTTATGAGTTCTGGCGTCATATAATGTTGTGAACGAGGACATATATTTTTCTTATTTTTAAATCCTATACACCGTAGCGCTGTCATTGTTTTCAGTTGTGGTATGTTCAAAAAAGTAAAATAGATGATTAATCATTATTTATAAAATAGGTTTGATATGAATTGTTAACTTTTAACTGTCGAATTGTAGTTAAAACCCTCTAATGGTAATCACAATTGATTATATTAGACGTGTGAAAAATTAAAAACAAATTTTAACAATTGGTTTGCATTAAAGGTTTATAATATATTTATTTTCACAAACTTAAAAGCTTCAAAAACGTCGGGTCGTAGTCAAAATTTTTAACTAATGTATTCGAGTTTTAACCCGCATAAGCCAGAGATCTTACTTTGACTGTGTTGACACAAATTAACGAATTAGTAAATTATTATTTTTCTAACTTCGACCCCACGGTTGCCTTTCAACGGCGTGGGGACATTTAGAAAAATCTCACAAAAAAGTTTAGAAACAATATGATTAATATTCTAAGAATTTTATAAAAAATATCGACACCTGAGACAGACCTTTTTAATGTTTTTTTTAAATTGTTACTTTAAATACAATTGCTTATTAAATATTTTTAATACTATACATTATTATCTTTGAGATGGAAAACACGGCGTTGCGTGCTCTATTTCTTATTATGATATATTGTCAAAACGTGTAATGAGTATTAAATTTCTATATTTTCAATTCTCCAAAAATTCAATACTTGAAAAGAAAGTACGATGTTTACGAAACTTGAAAATCTCGCGTCGTTGAAACGGATCATCGCCCAGTAAACAGCGTGTGAAAATCCCGCGAAAGCCTTCTCGTAGCGCGTGTCTTTTTAATGACTTCTCCAAACCTTCGAAACATGTGACCTGAATTTTATAATATTATTATTAATGAAATGTATATAACAGCAATATTTTGCTTGGTTAGATATATTGATAATGTTGCTTGGTTAGTTCTTGTGGTTATTCTTAACTAGCTGTATCAGCGACTTCGTCCGCGTAGAATAGTAACTTTTTTTCAGTCCATTTTTTTTCCAAACCTCCTCTTCATGTTTATAAATTTAACCCATGACGTCAGGCGCGTCCCGTCATTCTTGCAAGTTAATCTTAAAAGATAGACATCGCAGTCATTTTTTTAAATCATGAAATGAGGAATCATTCCTTTATACATATTTTTTGGGAATAGATATAGCCGAGGTCACGGCTGCTGCAAAGCATCCAAAACATCGGGCCGAAATTGAAAATTATTTTCAAATAAGTTTAACTAATATCGCGTTTTAAACCGTTAAAGTGTTTTATTTAAATGTGTACTACTCGCGTAAACTACAGACAGTATTTAATCTTGAACGGTTTTCGCAGTGTATGCATTGTCAACCCCCGAAGTTGAATAATTTTCCCCGCTTTTTCCACATTTCCCGTTGTGTCTTTGTACCTGTTAGTCACAGCGCAATATTTTATAACCGTATATCTTTCCTCGAGAGAGAACAAAAAAATTTTTAAATTCAAACCAGTAGTTCCTGAGATGAGCACGTTGAAACAAACATACAAAGTCTTTACTTTTATATATTAGTACAGATGTAATTAATGAAAAAAGATACATAAATTGCACTCGCCTACTACTATGATATTCATTTTGTTAAATGGCGCAGCAAGAAATATACATAGTACGAGAAAAGCAAAGTTTTTTTTAATCATACTTTTAAACAAGTCACATAAGTACTGTCTCTGCAATTTCATCCGTCATATTTGAAGCTAAAACTTGGGGTTTATTTGCGATTCGCTTTTCGTTGCACTCAGGCCTAATTAAATTTTTATTTGAACAAGATTTGTCGTGTAAAATATTGTAGAGTGGTATTCTGGTTATTTCGTTATTGGCTTTCAATTTTCGGTCTTATTTCCTAGGTCAATTTACTAAATGCTTTTGGAACCAGTGTTCTTATTATTTATTTTATTTCTACAATATGTATCATATATATTTGTGTACTTACTTAAGTACTCAAACCTTTCCTAGGATACTGACACCAAATACGGACTATTATCTCATAACGAAACATTTAATTGTCGTAATTAACTTTAGTTACTTCGTTCAGCTTTAGATTAAAATAGATTAAAATATATTATAGAAGTATTAACCATCCTTTTAACTTCACCACCATACAATAAAACAGCTGTTCGATTTAGTAATGAGTTGAAATAGATTTTAACTACTCTGTACGTGTATAAAGAAAACTGCAATATTTCTTTAAAAAAAACACTTTTAACTGATTTAAACGCTAAATGCATTAAATAAACTTATTTACTAATTATTATTTTATTATTTGCCCAATACATTTCGTGTTTTAAACAGTACAATGTGTTTTGTTTAGGTAAATGTGTACAACTTGCATATTTTTCATTTGTTATTGCACTTGTTTGCATTTTACTTATTATCAAATGTTTGTGCCTTTTTTTGAATTCAGTGTAAATTCATGATGTAGAAAAGTTGGAGCTAAACTACTGTAGTAGCGGAAGTACGTCATTATTTGAAACGCTGTGCGGCGTGGTAGGGCTGTTCCCAGCAATTTGGCTAATGTAGCGAAACAGCCTCGTTTCTCTGCACTTTGCACTGAACACTGTCCTACCTGAGCAATGTTATATGCAAATAGGGCTGCCAAATAGTCAATTGTGACTGGTTTATCTTTTACGGAGAATGGTTTAGGTTCACTTTTTTTAATTTTCTTACTTAATATATAACTGTTATTTATAAATTATATAACAATTAATAACTACAGCATAAAAGACAATGCTATTTTATAATAAGTAAAGGGCAGTATAATAATTAGTAGTAGTAGTAATTAAATTGTGAACTACGCTCTATGTCATCCTTAGCTTGTCAGATCAGTGGAATAATAATTATAAAATATATTAATATAAACACGACATTACCACCGTGACCACGGCTGCTGCAAAGCATCTGAAACGTCGGGCCGAAGTTAAAAATAATTTTCAAATAAGTTTAACTAATATATCGCGTTTTAAACCGTTAAAGTGTTTTATTTAAATGACATTACCACTTAATTCTTAATAAGAATACAAAATA